GGATGGAGGGATGGAGGGATGGAGGGATGAAGAGATCGAGTGATGGAGCGCGATGGCTGTTTCTCTTAATTCAGCTCATATGATATTGTTGAATTATTTTGTAAACACAGCTCAACTTGCCGACGTACACAAAGAATGTAGAGATATTCCTAACGCCATGACAGACCCTTCAGTTTCAATGTCAAATCAATGTGTTTGCAAGGATGGCTTTAAAGGTCCAGCAAGATTCGGCCTCGATTCAGTAGACGCTAAGTGTGTCGGTAGGTTGTTGGTAAATGTAGAAGAAAAGGAAAGAAAGAAAAGGGATGGTAGTGAAAGGAATGAAGGATTGTTGGGAAATGAAAAAATAGTGATCATAGAATGTATAGTTGTCCATCATTTTCAATAATTATTACAAAGAATATCATAAAAATAGGCCTCTCTGCCATGGGCATAATGTTTCCCCATGCCCAAGCTAAATAGTTATATTACAAAGATATTCCTTGCATTTTTTTAATGCATGAAACAGATATCGACGAATGCTTCAACCAGAATGTCTGTGGTGCTGATTTGGAGTGCATGAACACCCAAGGATCATACCAGTGCACCTGCAAAAGTGGATTCACTAACTATAATGCTACTCATTGCGAGGGTGAGTATAAAAACTGATCCAGCTTTACCCTTCAAGCTTGTTTATGATGTCTTTTGAATAGAATTCAGTGTCTGTTCTTATTCGTATGTAATACTTTTATGTAAAGCTATTTCAAAAAGGGTAATGAAGGTTTTGTAGCATACCACATGCTGCATTCCAAGCCCGGAACGAAACTATATGCCACATGCCACATGCCACATGCCACATGCCACATGCCACATGCCACATGCCACATGCCACATGCCACATGCCACATGCCACATGCCACATGCCACATGCCACATGCCACATGCCACATGCCACATGCCACATGCCACATGTTTTGAAGTACCTGTATATCACTGTATATCATCAGACAAGGACGAGTGCAAGGATGGAAGTGCTAATTGCCATGCTATCGCAGCTTGTAAGAACCAACATGGGTTCTATCAGTGCTTCTGTCCACAAGGATATACTGGCAGTGGAGTTGGAAGCAATGGATGTACAGGTATTGATTATTTTCGGTTTTACCCTTGGAATCTTGGAAGACTTTGTATGAATAGAAAATCTTATATCTGGGTGGAATGGTTTGCGTAGTGGTTTACTGCTCGCCTCTCACCGCTGTGGTCCGGGTCAAGCCCTAGCTCAGACTGTATCAGATGTGAAATGAGTTTGTTTGATGTGTTTTTCTCTCCCTTGTCACGAGGGTTTACTCCTCACGGAACCTCACGGAAGAGCCCCACATCGGGAGTGGTGGTTGTAAAATATGTAAAATATTTAAAATATGTAATATGCATGTGTATAACTTGAGCTTAAATTAATTAATCATTTCTTTCGTCCCTTTCCTTTATTTTTTCTCTCCTATCTTCTTTCTCTCTCTTTTGTCCTGCAACTTTCATACTTTCATACCCCCCCCCCCCCCCCCCCCCCCCAACATTTTTTTTTTTTTTCTATTGATACGATCACCAGCTAATTTACAGATATGAAGTAATCCCAATAAAGTTTTTCACTTCTTACACCTAGTTTTCTCTCGCTACACTAAATATCATAAAATGTAACACATCAAACTATAGAATACGAGAGATACGCTTCCATTATACTCAGGAGTCTAGTATGGAAAAAAATGTTTGAACGTTCTTCTTCCCTTTCACACTATCGTTGTTTACAGACCTGAACGAATGCCAGAATGCAATGGTATGTGGTGTTGACGCAAGCTGCAAAAATCTCATTGGATCGTATGAATGCACGAAATGTGATGCGGGACATATCAATGTGAAAGGGTTTTGTGAAGGTATATATGTTGATTTCACCAAATGTTGCCAAATATTACTTCTGCTTGCCTGCTTGCCTGCTTGCCTGCTTGCCTGCTTGCCTGCTTGCCTGCTTG